CTGGTCCCACTCAAAGCTACTCCTGATCAGTGGATGCATACAGGAGCCCAGACCTGGGCTACCACACCTTTTACAGACATGCTCCTATTTTACAGACAAGCAAAAGCTCTTGTTCCTTTGCCTCCTTGCTGCACCAGGGTCACCTACTCCAGGAAGCCTTCCTCCTGGGCCTTGCAGTGTCACATGCCTCCAATGTTCACCTGGAATTGAGGCTCCCTGAAGCCAGGTCCAAGAGACACAGTAAGTAAATGGTGAATCCTGCATCCCTCAACCCCATGACGGAGCAGACTGTGGTGTCGGAGCAGAAAATACTTGTCCCCATCTTAGTACCTGCACCAGTAAGTTGAGCTTCTGGACACTTTGCTCACTGGGGCTGTCTTGAGGCTGAGATGAGGCCTGTGCAGCCTTCCTCAGAGTGCTCAGCACACACCAAGTGCTCATGTTGGTCTGGGTACTGCCAACTGTTCAAGTTGGGGTACATGTGAATATATGTGAGACCCACCCACAGAGGTGCAGCTTGGCTGAAGGGTCCAAGTGAGCAAGCTGTGAAGAGAGGAGGGGAGGGGACCATGTGTGGAGAGTGGGCCTCTGGGGGAGTGGTTTTGGAGGGAGAGCAATTTGATGGGATAAGGTCCAGGGTGTAAGCGTGGGAGAGTATAATGCATCAAATGGAGGGAGAGACTAGCTTCTAAGTGACAAGTGAATTCAAACTAGCTTACGTAAAAAGCAATGTGTTATATGCTTGAAACTAATATAAGATTGTATATCAACTATACTTCAATTTTTTTTAAAAAGTCAATATATCATATATCAGTTTATGTGACAACTCTAATGGCTTCAGGCATGGCTGGATCCAGAGGGTCTGTTAATGATGTCAGGTATCTGTCTCTCTATTTCTTGGTTCCAACTCTGTCCTGGCTCCTTGTTCAGGTGGGCTTTCCCTATGTACTGACAAAGGTGGACGTTGGCAACCTGCCCCAGGTCGCTCCTCTTCAGCTATGGTGGAGGGAGGGCAGGTAGAGCTCCTTTTTCTTAATTCCGTAAGTCCCAGGATTGACTCCCACTGAACCCATTGGGGTAAGAGCCCATTTCTGACCCAATCATTATGGCAAAGTGAACAACTGACTCAACACTCATTGGCCAGATCTTCGGTCACACCACCATCCCTGGAACTTGAGGGGTCAGATCCCCTGAGACACATGTGGTCTCAGAATAGGGTGGATTGGGTCGCCAGAGGAAAATACAGAGCAAAGCTCAGAAGTGTGACTGGCCTGCCCCACTGAGGGCTGGCCCACTGGGTGCTCCGGTGCTCTTGGGGTGAAGACAGCGAGCCAGGGGCCCAAGTCTTCCAGGAATGGACAGGAGTGACGGGAGAGGTGGGGACAGGTGGGAGGCAGCAGTGTCAGAACAGGCAGCCGCTGGGAGAGCCCAGGGGTGGGAGCAGCCAAGGGCAGATCTTGGTGGGAAACATGGAAAGGCAGTGCACAAGAAGGGTGACCTGGAGGGTGCTTTGGGGTCCTGGAACTCATGGAATGCCCTCAGAGGACAGTCATTGGGGTGGCAGGCTTTGTTAGGAAAGACTCAGAGAAGGGGACGAAGCACAGTGTGAACTATGTGGGCAGGAAGGAGCAGCGTCCACGTGCCCGGATCCTCCGTAGCAGCCCTTCCCAACCCTCTCTGAACCTCAGCGCCACCTAGGAGCTGGTCAGAAAGCCAAGTATCAGGTCCCATCACCAAGATTCCAACTTGGACAACTGGGGTGAGCCCAGGTGGCATCTGCACTTGGGTTTCTGTCTTAGGGAAGAAGAGTAGAAGCTGGTCAGGCACAGTACCTCCCAGAATCCCAGGTAGGCAGAGGCCTCTCCTGCTGGTGGCATATTGGCTGGCCCTATAGGCAGTGTGGGACAGGACCTGGGCTGGTGCAATGACATCAGGCACAGCAGGACACCAGGTCCACTGCCCCCAAAAGTAGATGGAGCTGTTACTGATGAGCAAGTGCTCACAACATGGGCTGGTAGGGTGGGCAGAGCTGTCAGACGTGGCTCACCAGAGTCCTGCCATCTCCAACCTACGCCCCTGCCTGCTTCCTGGATGTGCACCAGCAAAATAGCCAAGTCTAGCATGGTGTCACCTGCTTCCCCCGAACGACAGTGCCCGCTGCTGCCATCAGTAACTCACAGTCAAGGCCCCATCTCACTCTCGGGACTTGTGCCTGGAGAGCGGGGATGTGCAGAGGGCTGCATCTGGCTTGGCTCCCTGTTCACTGGGAAGATCAGCAGGGCAGGCATCCATGCTGGTTCTGCCTCTGGCTGCAAGCTCAGGCCCAGCTCAGGACAAAGGGTTTCGCTCTGGCAGTTAACCCTGCAGTTCCCCCAGGGAGAAGCCCCTGAGCAGAGGGAGTGGACCTCCTCCTGAGCTGTGGGTGGTTGAGGGGTCTGCACCATGACCATACCCTATATGCCAGAGGGTAGGGACTGCCAGGCCATCAGGAGTATCCGCAGGCCAGGGGCTCTTCTCCAGTGATGCTCCGAGCTCCACGAACCTGCTATTGCCCTTGCCCCCTTCCTGCAGTCTCAACACAGGAATCAAAAAGACCACCTGCATTTAACCCCAGCCCAGGCTTGCCCAGTTTGGTACAAGGATATACCCACTGTTGCAGAACATTCCCCAGCTTCCAACTGCCCCAGTGTTTTGCAGGGTTCTTTATTGGAACATTGATAGGCCTCAGCCTAGTGCCCAACTGGATGAACCTACACCCCTTCTATATGCTGCACACAAGGGTATCCCAAAGCTGCCCAGTTACCTTCCTGGCCCCTGTGCAATCCTGGTTAGTTCAACGGAGGATCAGGGCTTCGCTCAGAACACTTAGGTTGTGGTTGGTGAGCCAGAGCCTAGGGCCTATATACATCTCCGTTATACCTGTCGCAGAACAATTAACTTCTTCAAAGGCCAAGAGCTGGTGTGGCCCAAGAGCTGAGAGGCCCTGACCAGTAAACCTTGTGGTCACCTCAGCCCCCACCCATGGCAGATGGGTTCTTGTTGCGACCAGCCTGTCTCCAGCATCTTTGCTGCCCACAGATCCGGCTGGAGGCTCTTTCAGGGATCACCCAGCCCGCTCCCCCCTTCCCCTTCTCCCCGCCCCCCCCGGTCTCCCCCTAGGGCCGAAGGCCCCAGCTTACTTTGCAAAGCCGCGCAGCTGAGTGACTCTGGGGCCCACCGTCCAACCCGAGCTGCGGCGCCGACCACGCCCAACCCTATTCCACTTAGAAAAAATCGAGAGCGGTTCAAAGGTTTCAAAAATTTATTGTGCCCCCCAAACGGCCGACGGGATAAAGGGTAGCGCCGCACAGCCCCGCGCCCCGAGTCACTGTCGCGCACCCAAAGGCGGGGAAGGTGGGTGACTGGGAAGGGCGGCGCAGCGGCCGTATCCACGCACGCCCAGGCCTGACCAACCCGCGGCCCCAGCCGGGGATAGCAGGCGAGCCACGGCCTTTGGCGCCTTAGGGCGGTAACCATGGCGACAGCCGTTGCTAAGGGCGAGAGCCAATAGAGGCGTCGCCAGGGCCGTTTCAAAAATCTAAAGGGGAAAAAAAAAAAAAACGCTACGACAGCGGGGGATGGGAGGAACATAGAAAGGATGGCGCGGTCCCGGGGCCCCTCCCTGCGGCTCAGAGCGGGCTCGGCGGCCCGGGCCGGGGTAACCGTACAAAATCTACAGACACTTGGGGTAGAAAAAACCAAACCCCGTAAAGACCCCGCAGGAGAGCGCGCTCATTTGCGGCCTTTGGGCACTTTGGGGACGCTAGGCTTGCCCGCCTTCTTCACCTTCTTGCCCCCAGAAGCCGCCGCCTTCTTAGCCTTGTTGCCTTTGTCCTTCTTGGAGGAGGCGCCCTTCTTGTGCGAGCGCTTCTCGGGCTTCTGGCCCTTGGCGGGTTTCTTGTCCGCGCGCCGGAGGCTGGCCACGCCCGGGGCCGCCTTCTTGGCCTTGTGCGCGGCGGGAGCCGGGGCGGTGGCGGGCGCCGTGGCTCCGCGCCGCTCGCCGCCGCCCTCCAGCTTCTTGCGGTTGAGCTTAAAGGAGCCGTTGGCGCCGGTGCCCTTCACCTGCAGGAGCGTGTCGTTCTGCACCAGCGCCTTGATGGAGTATTTGAGGTAGGTGCGCCCATTCTGCTGGTCGAACCACGCCACCTTTTTGGCTTCCGCGTAGATCTTGGCCAGCGACGAGCCGTTGCGCTCGCCCAACCTGCGGATGGTCTCCACTACCAGCTGGCTATACTTGCCAGGCTGATTCTTCTTCTTGTGATTCTTCCTCTTCTTGGACGGAGACAGCACCGCCGAGCCGCCGGCCTTGGCCTTTTTGCCCGCCCCCTCGGCGGTAGTCAGCGGCAGGGCCTCCTCGAGCTCCACAGACATGGTGGCGAGCGGGTTGGTGGCGGGCGGGGCGCGGAAGCCCGGGGGCCGCGCCGGGAAGAGGAAGGCGAGGGGCCGAGGGGGCGCCGGGGGGCTAGGGGCGCGCGGCGGCTCCAGGCGGGAGCGGCCGCGGCCGGACCTGGGGCCGGGCGGCAGGGCTGGGGCGGGGGCGGACCGGCCGGAGCGGAGGTCCCAGGCCGGGGCCGGAGCCGGAGCGGAGGGGACCGGAGAGGAGGAAACCGAAGTAGGGGTCGGCCCGGAGTAGGGAAGCCAGCCGGGGGCGCCGCTGCTGCCGTTATCGCCACCGCCAGCACCGCAGCTTGCCGGGCGTGCGCGCTGCGCTCTGACGAGGAGAACGCCCCGCTCTACTTTTATGGCTCCGTGGCGGACCACGTTGAGAACAACAACAGCCTGGTCCGGAGCCAGCGCCAACTTGTGCTTCTTGGAGCCCCTTCCCCGGCCGCTGGCTTCCCGGACCGCGCCTGCCCTGCGCCCCTGCGCCCGCAGCGTAGCGCCCCGGGCGGGGCCCGAGCCCGCGGCACCGCGGAGAGGCGGTCTGCGCCCGGGAAGGGCACGGCAAAGGGAAACGGAGGAGTGCACCCTAGGCTGCGGGAGCGCGAGAGGAGGGGGGCACCCTGTTTCGGCGCGAGTAGCACGGGCCCGGGGGTGGGCCCCAAGGCCCGGAGGTCTGCGCCTGGCAGCCAAGAGTGCGCCACGGGCACCCAAGCCCTGGCCGCGTCCGGGAGGCCCCGGGCCTGCCCGCAGAACAAGCTTTAATTCGTCCGAACTAACACAGGGCGCGCCCTCCCGCGGCCGGCCGGGGCAATGGTAAGTGAGCTGGGGCTTCTTCGAGGGGGGTCTCCGCCCCAGTCCAGGAGGGTAACGAATGGGAGGTGCTCTCCAGCCCCGCGCCTGGGGTCTTGTTAGCCTCAGGCGCCCGGGCACCGCTCGGGAGAATCGGGGACGACCGCAGTGCCTCTCTGGGGACATTTCCTAGCCGACCACCCCGCTTGCCGCAGATGCTTCCAAGTGCCCCATTTTGTGGTGCTCAGGCAGCTGCCACCGTTCCCCCAAAACCAAATGGCGGCTTCAGGGTGTGGCAGGGTGGGCGAGTGTCAGGTTGCGACCCCCGGAGGAGGTCCCGCGGGGATGCGGGAGGAGGGAGGAAGGAAGGAGGGGAATTGCTCTTCGCTCCCGGCCACACCCCTCCCCTCGACTCCTCGGAGGGCAATTGAGAGGAGGTCCTGCAGGGAGCTCTCGCGGCAGCCCCACTACTGGTACCTCCGCGGAGGCTTGCGGAAACCTGGCGTCCATGAGCTCCGCTGGGTCCCCCTCTAGTGGGATGCAGAGATGTCAGACTTTTCTCGGAGCCAGAGAAACCTCCGCTTGGGGAAGCTGAGACCACAGAGGGGGCACTCCAAGGAGAGAGCGGACCCCTCTGGGGTAAATGATTTTTGAGGCCTGGACGTGGGGGCCGCGTCAGGGGCACAGACAATAAACAGTCCCCTGTGGCCCGAGCATGGAGGCTTGGGTTGGAGGGGAGGCTAGAGTACTGGGGTTTCAGGGGTAGGGAGAGCTGGAGGCCGTGAGGCCCTGAAAAGGGGAGGCGTGTTTCGGTGCCTTCTGCCCCATCAGGCCCCTCCCAGCCGGCATGGTGTTCCCTCCCCTGCTGTCGGCGCTCAGCCCTTTCCCTTTCACGGCGCTGGCACGGACCCCATTTGCCCTAGGACAAGCTAGTGAGGAAACTCCAGGAATGGAGGAAATCGAGGCCTGGAAAAGGAGACAAGGCGGTGTTTTGCGACGGAGGTCAGGAGTATACGGAGCCGGGAAAGGGCTTGGGCCCTCGGGGCAGTGAGTAGACTTCTCCCCGTAGGAGAAGGAACGTAGATTGCAGCCGGGGCTCTTGCAAAGGCCAAGCCCCTCTCCCAAAGAGGACGACCCTGGGCGCGTGCGCCGTCTGTCCATGACCAGGAAATCCTCCAAGGTGTGAGACGTCAGCCAAGGTGAGGATAAGGCCATCCAAATTTCCTAACGGTGGATTCTGAAATGGCCAGGGTGCTGAGCCCTGGGAGTGGCGCTGGGGAGGAGGAAGGGCCAGCTAAGGGCTGCATGGCTCCTCAGGGGCTGCATGGGTGCAGCAAAGACCTCAGTTGCAAAAATGCAAGGTGTGTGCATGCTGGGCTGGGGTGCGTAGAGCAGGCAGTGCAGGAAGAGAAGCAACGCTGCCTAGACGTGTGGCCCACAGAGGAGTACCTGCCGCGGAGCAGAAGCCATCGAAGAATGAGCAGTCGCACACTGGGAAGGTGGGTAGGGTGGCCCTCTGCGGGCGGGCCGTGGTGTGGAGATGGTGGAAAGGGGACACCCATAGAAAGCTGGATTTGGGGCACCAGGTGGAGGGGAGGCAGCCAGGTGACAGGCCCCAAGGGGCTTGAGCTTGGGTGTCTGAAAGGTCAAAAGGAGAGCAGAGCTGATAGCCATGGGGAGGCATGGCATGGGCAGCTTGGGTGCACCCAGGATGAAATTCCTTCTCTCCTACGGGGAGAAGTCTACTCACTGCCCCGAGGGCCCAAGCCTTTTCCCGGCTCCGTATACCCCTGACCTCCGTCGCAAAACACCGCCTTGTCTCCTTTTCCAGGCCTCGATTTCCTCCATTCCTGGAGTTTCCTCATTAGCTTGTCCTAGGGCAAATGGGGTCCGTGCCAGCGCCGTGAAAGGGAAAGGGCTGAGCGCCGACAGCCGTCACGGGAGTGGTCGCTGGAAATGTGAGTCTGGAGCTGGTTGCAGTGGCATCCGGGGCAGGGATACCTTCCGGAGCCATTGTGGAGGTGATGGAAGCGGCAGGAAAAGGAGGACGGCAGCTTGGGAGACAGAAGGGGAATGGCCCGAGAGGAGTAGGGGAGAGCAGGCGCCGGCCCCAGAGGAGAGAGCTTCGGGAAGGAGGCCTGGTCAGTCCTGGCACAGTGTACAGCCCCAGGGGCCTGGCTCCCCACCAGATGGCCCTTGGCTGGACGTTGCTTGTTTCCACCATTGGTTTTTTTTTTTTCAAAAAAAACAAATTAGTTCTGGGCGATTTCAGATAAAAATGCAGCCCTGCTTTCAGACTTCCCTTTAAGAAATGGGAAGATTCCATGTGCTGGTGAGACAGGGACCCTAGATGTAGTCAAAGTAAGGTGAGGGCCTCCGGAGGGGGCAGGGCAGAATATTTGTAGTCAGAGCAATGTACATGCAAAGAAACTCCCAAGCTAAAACTCTATGTTAAACATTGAGCTCTAGAATCATTCTAAAGTGAAATCAGTTAATGTTCCCCAGATAAAGAAGAGTAGCACATGTTTTATTATGCGAATCATTTGTAACCATGTGTAAGATTCACTTTAGCATGCTAAAAGGCCCAGGCCTATGTGCTGTCTTTCCTCCTTCAAATCTGACGGGTGATTCTGCAAACTGAGCAATTAACTTAGCATGCAGACCCAGCTGCAGACAACATGGTAAAAGGCAGGAAGAATTCCATCTTAAAGGTAAAATTGCATTTTAACACCCAGGAAGTTCAAGAGGCAAAATTCTTTAGCAAGTAGATAATACCTCAGCCCACCCTGGGGGCTGGGCAGGCAGCCTTTTGATGTGCTCCCAGACCATGGCACCGGTGTCCCAGAGGGAAATCAAGGCAGGAAATTCCTTATGTTGTTAATTTTTAATATTCAGAAACCACTTAACAAGGCCCCATCCCTAAGTTTTTTCATGTTCTTGAAAAATCCTCAACTCAACTGCCTATAAAACCACCTAGACAACGCACCAACGATGGACTCTCTTGTCCCCTCCTGGCGTGAGCCGGGAGCTCTGTTCTTTCACTTTATCCCTAAATAAAAGCCTGTACCTTGCTCTCCTACCTTGACTGTTTGTGAAGCTCATTCTTCAGCTCCGCAAACAAGAACCCCGGCATCACTGGGGCGGGGGGGCTGCAGGTGTGGGGCCTGAGCCACAGTCACCGCCCCTGGGTGCCTGGCAGGGCTCTTGGCACCTGGTCAGTGAGGGAGTGGGTGTGGCCAGCATGTGTCCGAGGAAGGGCTCTCCAGCCGTGAGGGAGGCCTGCGGCAACTGGAGTTGACAGTTGAGGAGCCGTGATAGGGAGACCCCTGCAGGCAGGCTGGTGTGGCCCAAGCCATGGGGGATAATGCTGGAGACAGTTCAGAGTCCTTGACAGCCTGGGAGCTCCGTGGCTGCCTGGGGAGGGGTGCTTTTGCCAAGATGGGGGCTTCCTGTGGACCTGGGCTCAGGAAGATTAATTCTAGGCTTTGGGAGCTAACAAGACCGAGTGGGTTCATCCCACTGTCCTCGTACAGAGAAGCAAACTGAGGCCAAGGGAAGGGGCATTGGTGCCTCCATCTGATTAGGACTGTATGGCTGGCCTCCTGCCAGTCTTCAGGGCTACTTCTCAAACCCCGCACCCCCAGATAGACCCTGCCACCCCTCAAAGGAAACGAGAGGTGGGGAAGGCCTCAAGTAGCCAATGAAAAATGATGAAATCAAGAAAAAGGAGCATCTGAAAGTGGCCCCGGCCCAGCCAGTCTGGAGGAAGCTCGGGGCCCCTGATTCCTGAGGGTGCTAACCTGGGGCGACCCTCTGTCCCTAGGCGAGCTGGTCCAGTCCCAGGGCTGCAGACACCACCCACACCCTGACGTCTGCCCCTCTCCTGACCAACAGGCTCTGGCATCCAGCTACTCGCTGTCGTCTGCACTGGGATATGTGAAACCCATTTCTTCTGTGTCATGGTTAAACCAGAACTCCTAACCTGTCCCTTCCCAGAGTTTCATAGACAGTTCTGGTTAGCAAGCACGTGTGATCCCCCCCCCCCACCGCCCCTGGATTACTTTTTCCCTCTACCATTGCAGCCAAACCTTTGGTTTCTGTCAGGTCCACCCCCAAGCAGGTCCCACCTCCCCCAAGCCTCTCCTCCCCAGGCTGCGGTGCCCCCCACCCTTTCACTCTGGCCTCTCCACATGGCAGCAGAGGACGCGACTAACACGAGGCTGACCCCCAGCAGCCTGCCTCTCCAGCAGGCGTCCAGTGGTTTGTCATCAGACTTAGGATAAATCTGCACTCGGCCACACTGCCTTTTTATTCCTTTCGTGCACCCAGGAGTTCCCAGCTCAGGACCTTTTCATGTACTATGTGGCTGTCTACTTTCATTCAGATCTCAATCTGTAAATATCTCCCAGCCCCTTACTAAAACACCTTCCTAGAATTCCTATCCTGGAAACCTACCATCATCTGACCGTATTTTGCTGATATACTCATGTACTGGCTGCTCTCTTAAGAGCAGAGCTGGGTCTGCCTTGCTGCCTGCTGGCTCCAACCCGGGGCACACCCTGCACTACAGAGACAGTCCTGCTCACTGCTGCCTGGGCCTGGGCACCACTCAGGTTTGCCTGCAGCACAAAAACAAGAAGGTGGACTGGGAGTGAGGAGCTGCTGCTTTGGCTCAGATCGTGGCACTCCTGCAACCCCCATGTGTGACCACCCCATGCCCCCTAAACTGCCCAGCGTGGGCTCCACAGTTTGTGAAAAGGGGTTGGACGTGTGTCATTTGAATGACTCTTTAGCTTTACCATTCTGATTCTGGACTTCTGAACAGAGGAAATGGACCCACAGTAATATAGCCTGGCTGGTCCATGAGACACACAACAGAGGCCCATGTGTCTGGGGAGGAGTAGGCTGGTCTGGTAAGAAGTCTCTGGGCTGGTATTGCAAAGCCTTTGGCTCTGGGCTGGCTCCTGTGATTCTGTGGGCCTCAGTGTTACCATCTGTAAAAGGCATTATGTGCGCAAAAGCTCAACAGGGCTCCTCTGCCTTAAAGGTTGCTGGAGGCCTGGGTGGGAGTCCCCAGTGTGGGAGGCTGAAAGGTACTACAGGAGCCACCAGCCTCAGGGATGGGGTCCAGAGGCCCTTTGCCTGAGGGCCCTTGACCAAGGAAGGCCCATTGGCTTGGGCCAGGCTGATGAGGGCCAGTCTGCCTCCCGAAAATGTGTTTTAAACCCAGAGGTTGGCTCCAGCCTAGGCCTGGACTGGAAGAGGGGACAACAGGGCCCAGTTTGGGATTTTAAATGTGCAAAGAGGCTTTTAGGGCTTTTCAGCATTTACTGGGAAATTTACCAGAGGAGAATTTGGGGAAGGTTGCCTTCAACATGCAAACATGTATTGTGAAGTCCTGAATGGGGATGATCGGGCTCCTTCACCCACTGCAGCCCAAGGGGCCTGTGGCTGTGATGAAAACCTGGGCAGACTGCTGGAGATCAAAGAAGCAGTGGAGTTGACGCCCAGAAGATGCAAAAAAGACACAGAGAAATCAGAGTGCTTGGAGGCTCAGCTGCTGAGAAGGCGAAAGGGATGGCTGCCTTCCCACCTCCACTTCTCCTGCCAGCATGTAGGGCTGGGTCCCAACTGCAGGCTCCCATGCCCTGGGTGCCCTCAAAGCAGGAGTCCCCAAAGGATTCTGATAGAAAATAATTTTTAAAAGAATGGACTTTAAGTAGTGTTCTTCATGGAAGAAACCAGACCTGTGAGGGACACAGCATTAGTGCTGTTTTTACCCAGAATCATGTTAAGGGATGAGCCCTCAGTATCAAGCTGCACAGGTTCACATTCACACGTCTGCATCGGGCCTCCAGCGAGGATGTCACCTAGGTGCCCTGGGGACTGTGGGTGCCCACTAAGAATGCCCGACCTAGAGATAGGTCCTGAAACGCTGACCATGCTGTGGGTGGTTGGACCTGTTGCCTTGAACAAGATCAGTCACACATCTCCAGAAGGACTTGGCCACCACACTGTCAGTGCTCCAAGGGCCGTGATGACGGCTGGTCTGAGCCGTGGCGCAGGAGGCAGCAGGGGTAGGCCAGGCCTGTTGGAAGACATGCTGGCCTTCCCTTAGGCCTTTTGTTTCTCCTTCTATTTAAAAGCCTGTTGGCTTTTTTTTTTCTTAGTAGATTCAGGGTATAACACCCGAACAGAAGGGTGTGAAGCTAAAACATGGTCCGCAGCCCCGTGAACCCCCCTGCCAGGGCAGGGCCACAGTTCACATTGGGGCTCTCGTGGGCCCCACCAGCACAAGGCGCCTGTACCCACACCCCTGCATTTCCTCCACAAGGATGTCACACACACTTGGTCCACATCCTGCTCTCGTCACCTCTGGTCTAAATCACATTGTGTGCGTGTGACTGCTGCGGTTGCAGGGTGTCCCTTAGCCTGGTTGGCCGTGGATACCTCTGTCCTGTTGCCAGGCACACAGTGCCAGCCCAATGCTGAGACTGTCCTTTTGCAGCCTGGGGCTATCTACAGGATTCACCCTTAGCAATGGGGCTTTTCTGCCACCGAGAGTTAACTTGTGATGACCTGTGGCCAGGTTGCCCTTAGAGCACCCAATCCCCCTTTTCCCTCCCTGTGCCTCTGTCTCCAGCTGGGTCCTGTTTGGGGGCACCAGCATCACTCAGGTGGGAGCACTTGTACCTCAGGATTCCTTTTTCATCTCTTTCCTGTTCTGTGACTCCACCCAGCTTGGTCTGCAAGCCGCCCACCCCATTTCAGATGCTGCCATCAGTCCCCACCTAACTGCCCTCTCTGGGCCAGGGCACAGTCTTGCCCAGCAGCTTTTCTCAGGGGCTTGAAAGGGACCTGACTCCAAGCCCACTTCATGTCAGGTGCCTGCCTGCTTTTCTAACTTCATCTCCCATTCTTCCCATCAGAAGCCTCCATCTCTAAGCTCTGTGCTCTCTAGAGACCTGACCACTTGCCCTGGGGTCCTGGGGCTCCTGAGGTCTCGGCCTGGCTCTCCAGCCTGTGTGCACACTGCCAGCTGGGATGAGGGCGAGCGGATGGAGGGAGTGAGCAGCAGAAACTAGGAAATGATTTCTCCAGTCCCCAACCTCAGATAAGTGCTTGGCATGGAGTTGGGAGCTCTGGCCCAGGCTCACCCTTGGGTGAGAACAGTGGCGAGAAGCCCAGAGGAGCTTCAAGAGGCTCCCAGCCCCTGCTGCGGCTGCCTTCAGCACAGGGCCTTCCTTTACTTTGGGGCTGAGGGTTTCCTGGCACATCCCTGAACCTTTTCCCACTCGAATGCCAGTTTACAGGCTCAGAGAGGGTGGTGGTGGCCCACATGCACTCCCAAGAGCCCTGGGGTCTGTCCCCTCCAGGAAGTGTCAGCTCTGTGGTAGGAGCCTCCCCCTCCAGGTCTCAGAGTCCACAGCCGGGCAAGGGCAGAGTTGGCTTCTGCCTCAGACCCGTTGTAGAGCTGGGCATCTCTTCAGAAGCCCCAGGGTTTGAGGCCCAGGAGTTGGGATAGTATCTAGAGACCATTCTGAGAGGGGGCTT